GTCGTAATAGTTTTGGGATTGTCAGACGTAAAAAATTTTAAAATTGAGAAAAAATGAGAAAAGTTGTCACCAATCTTTTTTAGGATGTGATTGGCCACCCAAAAGTTTATCTTTTTAATAAAACTATAAAAGAGGGTTTAAAGTTTATTAAAAGGACAAATTTTAGTCTATGAAAACCAGGTTGGGTCTGGGAGTTGGTTACACGTGAGAAAGGATTAGCACTCCCACAACACCCATAAATTAGTATCATTTAATCATGCACTATTTTTGGTGTTGGATGAAATGGTTTTGTTTTGAAATTTAATGCTAATTCCCTTTATTTTTTAAAAAATAAATTTTTGTTAAAACTCTTTATTTAGGAACATTGAGAAAATTTTTAAGTTAAAAGAATTACCTTAAAATTCTCCAACATTTAGGCAGAATTTAGAATAACTTTTTTTGTTTAAGATTTAACATAATATTCCTCAAAATAAAAAATAGCACTCTTTGCAGAAAATAAATGTTGATGACTCTCCAAAATATACACAGAGTACCAAGAATTATTTTCTTTAGAATGTTATTTTTATGTTATTTTATAATATCAAAATTTTAAAAGATATATACTTTTTGTTTTGTGAAACATTTTATATGAGAAAGACATAATGGTATTATCAGATAACAAACAAAAATTAAAGATAGAGAAATGTGAAATAAATGTCAACAATAATTTAATGATGCATGTAAGCCAATGGATATTATACAAGATGATGAAATGCAATTTCTTAGAGAAAAATGGATTTTTAAATATAATGAGACCACATTGACTCTCTAACATCTAAGCAGAACCTAAGTGCAACTATTTATACTTGAGATCCCATTTTATTTGTATACTTTTATTATTAATCCCATTATTAATGTGAATTAGGGATTCGTATGAAAAACTTAATAAAATAAAGTTTCCTAAATACCCCATCATCTAGGCGGCATTCCAGAATAAATCATTTCATGTGAGATTTTCACACATATCCTTAGAGTTTTCATAATAATTTCAAGTTTGGGTTGAAATTTTAAGGTTTGGTGTCTTTGGGTGACGATTTGAGGTTGTGTGCCAAATTTAGGGTTTAGGATTTTAGGATTTGGGATTTTAGATTTTAAGTTTTTAGGCTTAAGTTCTAAGGGTTTTAGGGTTTAAAGGGTTTTAAGGCATGGATTTTAGGATTTGGAGGGTTTAAGGTTCTAATTTTAGGGTTTAAGGTTTAGGGTTTTGATTTTAGGATTTGAAAGGTTTAGAGTTTTAATTTTAGGGTTTAGAAGGTTTAGGGTTTTGTTTTTAGGGTTTAAAGAGTTTAGGATTTTATTTTTGGGTTTAAAGGGTTTGATTTTAGGGTTTAAGGTTTGGGGTTTGGATTTTAGGGTTTTGGATTTAAGGGTTTGGAAGTTTTGAGTTTTGATTTTAGGTTTTTGGTTTAGCGGTTTCGATTTTAGGGTTTAGATTTTTTAATTTTTAAAAAACACGAACATTTCTAAAAATTCTCAACATCTAGGCGAACTTTTAGAACAAGTTCAATTTTTATGAATTTTGAAAATTAATTAAAATTTTTCATATATTTCATTTTTAGGAAATTTATTATTATTATTATTATTATTGTTGTTGTTGTTAATTTATTTAGAATTTTTCTTATAATAATTCCTCAATATCTAGCGAAATTATTATTATTATATTCCCTTCAACATCTAGGCAGAAAAAAAAATTTTATTATTTTTATAATCATTTTATATATTATTATTATTATTGTTATTATTATTATTATTATTATACAAGATTTATTATAAAAAAATAAAATTTAACTATATATTTTATTACTTATTTTTATCTATTGATTAATTATTTATAAAAATTCATTATAGCAAATTTAAACTTTTTAACATGCATAAATATTAATAATAAATTTAAAATTACAAGAATAATATTAAAAATTTCAAAAAAATATCTGAAACCGAATCGGTCAACGGTAGATCTAGTCAGCTCATGAGTTCGGTGGTTCAAATCGGTCCAAACCGGGTTCAATGGCGGTTCGTCTAAACCGGTTAAAGGTTAGCTGAAGGATGGGTCATCGGGTTAGGGTCGTGCGAATCTCAGGTCAGATTCGGGTCCATGCGCAGATCCTCCTTGAGCAAAACGGTGTCATTTGCTTCTAGTTTTCTATATAAAAGTGAACGTTTTTTTGGTTCATTTCATCTTTACTTTAAAAAAAAATCCACTAGCTCCAAAAAACTCTTTGGCTTAGCCAGAATTCAGTGCCAGGCTATCACATCGACCCCCACCTGAGGTCGCCGTCGTGGCTGTTGTCGGTGGTCGCTTGTGATCAAAAAATGCCAAATGTCACCAAAAAAATTCCCTTTGATCTTTTGAGCTCAAATCGCACCTTCCTTTTTACAAGAAATAGCCCCCGATCGACATAAATCGGGGCTTCAAGTTTTTGGTCTTTTTTTTTCTTTTTTTTTTGGAAAAATCGAAATTGATGATTTTTTTTTTACAGGTAGTTCGGCGTTGAGTTCTTCCTTATGATGAGGATTGTTGTTTTCATTTGTGGATTTTTGTTTGTTTCCTTTTTTTAGGTTGTCTGTTTAGAAAGGGAATGGGTACTACGTGAGGTTAAGGGTGCCAAGACCCTTGTCCGTGGAGGTTGAGAATCGGAGTAAGGTCAAGTTGGGGCTAGTTTGGGTGCTGGAGCTTTGGGCGTAGACGTAAAGGCTGATTTGGGCGCTGGGACTTTAGGTACAAACATTGAATATGAAGGTTTCTGGGCCTCATAGGCATGAAGATGCAAGGTGCTAGGGGTGAGCGAGATTGGTGTTTTTTTTTTCTTGCCCAAGCCCAGTATGGGAAGAAGCTAGGGCTTTTTATAAGCTGGGTGTTTGGGATAAGGGGTGAAGTAGGTGGTGGTTGCGGGGGTGGTTGCAAGTATGGTTAGGGGCTGTTGAGGGTGGCTGCAGGGTAGCCTGTAGTGCTAGGCTTCAGCCCCCTTGCTTTCTGCTACTCTTTTCTTTTTTTTTTTGTTTTTTCTAATTTTTTTAACAAATTATTAATATCTAATAAATAACAAAAAAAGAAAAAACAACAGTGAGCTTAGACCTGAAGAAGAAATCGGGCCTTAACCCGTGAGCTCGATAAAGCTCAAAACTTAAACCGAAATCTAAACAAATTTGGTGTCTACACCCGTCTTGAATTTGCTCATTTTTTATCTAAGTTCACGGAGGACTTATTCTATGGGACATATCTATGACTTGAAAAAAAAAAAAGAAAAATAATCATAAAAAATTCTCCACCAATCCATGTACAAATAAAGATTCAAACAGTATTATTGAATAAGGTTTGACTGATATGCTACTACAACAGCTGCATGCTTAACTCATCTTCAGAGCTGGTATTTATATCTTCTATAGCCAACAGGAGGACAAATGTCCAATATTACCAAGAGAAAATGAAATCTTGAGAATTTACATGTTGCTCTAAACATTCTCTGATTTTAATAGAAATTTTGCATTGTGCAATTAGTTTGGCATATACCAGACAAGAATCTCTGATTTTCTGTAACAGGGTATGTGATAGCCACTGTCATTTGAGAAGAAATCTTCTGTAGTCATTCAATCGCAACATTGACCTGAAAAATAGTTGGGATATATAAGATAATACAAGGTTTTCTTTTCAGAAATGATTCTAATCAGTGTAAAATAGAAGGCAATAAACATGTAATTGAGATTATTTATTCTTTGTAAAACTTTATAATTTAAAATGAATAGTGTCCAAAATTGATGATATTCTCTCCAGATTTCTCAAAACAAATGCGGTCAACATGATTGGAAGCAATTACCATACCCCTTCAACAGATTATGATCAATTAAAACGGAAATTGAATTATTGTTGTTGGTGGTTTTAGTAACCAGAAGTCATTGTCGCATGACAAATTTGGATTTCTAATTTTAATACACTAAAAAACGAAGGACAAATAGAGAAAGAGATATATTTACGTTCTTATATTTTTTTACTTTGAATTGGTTGTAGTTTGTTTGAAGCTAGATGTTGCTACCGAAGAATGCATATTAATCAGCCAATTGCTACCCACCCAAACTTTCCAACTAACATTCAAATTAAATGATTTTGCAGGACCCTGATCAGTATGCCCACCATAAAAGCAGGGGAAAGCAGGAAATAAAGATGAACAACAAGAGAATAAGCTGTAAATAATCTCCAGAGAATGAAGGGAAAAGAAAAGAAAAGAACTTGATTCAACTTTGGGCAACAACAAGAGTATATGAAAGAACAGAATTTCATAAAATTAAGCTAAAAATATTTACCTAATTCAGGATTTGGGTTGCATGGTTTATTACCAATAGAGTTGAGAAAAACTAAATGCTAGCAATGGCTATAATACTATCACTTACTCGTAACTATGTAGATTCTATTGTTCCAAATTGACCAGAATCCAAGTTTGAAAACTCCAACTCTTCCCCTTAAAATCTCCAATTCTTAGAGGAATCACTTTTGATTTCGACGTATGAGGAATTCAGGGAACCTAAATAAGTTTAATGTTAGGAAATTTCAACTTTCATAGAGTAAGCAAATTAAATTTACTTAAATCTCAATAATCAAAATGAGTAAAAATCCATACCTTGTTCTTGGCTTGGTGTTTTCGCTTATCGGCTATGTTACATAAGATAGCTGCAATTGCTTTAACTCTTTTTCTAAAGCTGAATGGTTCAAAATTTTTAATTGCCAAAAACAAGACGCAACTAAATTTTCAGACAAATAAAATTGAAATGCTTACCTTAAAGCTTTTTTTTGGATAAATAAATATTTTACTTAACCAGATAGATGCAGGGGAAAATCATTCTATAAAGAAAAGTGTAACTGAAATCATCAGCAAAAGATAAAAACATCTTACAACATAAAAAGACATGACCAAGCAAACAGACATCATCAACACAACAAATAAGAAAGTAACTAAATTCCCCCAATGCTAACATAAATTGGAATTCACTGGATAGCCGGCTGCACGGTTCTTGCTTCCAAGTCTCTGTCTTCGTTTGCAATGAAACTTTGAATTGCAAAGAACAGTGAATGTAGAAGAGAGAACCTAGTGAATGAGAGCCATTGAGACAGGAAATAGAAAATTAGTTTCGAGTATTTTTTATTTATTTTAACAGTTTTAATAATTTTATATCATGGGATTGAAAAAGATGGATACAATGTCATATAGTTATATACTTGGGTTTTGGTTCTTATTTAAATGCTACATGCCAAATGAAGAGTAATTAATAACAACAAAAAAACATGTTTCATACCATATTAAACCTGCTCAATGCTGATTAGAAACCTTCTGTTTGATTTTTTGAGCATAGTCACAACATCCACAATATTGTTTCTATCCTCCCCGGTAACTCAGCCGAACATTCAAAGCTAATTCCATGATGGATGATATGCAATTTGCTTTAATAATATAAATATTCATCATCTCTTCTTAATAAATTGGCATCCGCAATATCAATCATTCCTTTAGATATTGACATTTTTCATCCATGCCTCATAGTTCAATGCTTCACTAAAAATTTCATCTGTTGGCTTCTTTTTTGTGAAGGTTTCTATTAAAAGAATCCCCGTAACTATATATGTCACATTTTACCGAAACCAATTCCTGCCGATCCATATTCTGCATTTCAAGTATAACAGAAACCGTTATTGATCATCAACCAATTTTAAAATGGTTGTTCAACTATATCATGTAAATCCTGAACATGAAAAAATATAAATAAAAAAAAAAGAAAAATAACCATAAGTATACAAAAATCACCTGGTGCATATATCCAATAGTTGCAAGTGTCATGGTTTGTCTCATGAAATCATCTTCTTCCAATAGTTTGGCAATGCCAAAATCTCCAAATGCGCAACCTTGTTCTTCATCTAGTAGAATATTACCTGGCTTTAGGTCGCAATGGATTATAGGATTGGTTGACCAGCATGGAGGTATTCTAGAGCTGATGCAACATCTATCATTATATTGATCCTTTGTAAGATATCAAGAAAATGGCTTTCAGAATGTAACCATCTTCTCAAGACTTCCATTAGGCATGAAATCAAGCACCAAGGCCTTTGAAGTCCACATTAGAGCAGCAAGTAATGACCTTGACAAGATTGCGTTGGACTATATTACGCAAAGCTTCACATTCAGTGTCGAAACTCCTAAATGCTCCCTCTATCTGCAAATTGAAAACTTTTATTGCAACATTCATCCCATCTGAAAGCCTCCCTTTATATACAGATCCAAAACTCCCTGAACCAAGAAAGTTGCATTCTCCAAATCCTTCAGTTGCTTGTGAAAGTTCATCATATGAAATTCTTCTCCATGTTTTCAAAGATAACAAATCTTCCTTAACTGGTTGAGTTATACTCCTGCTTTTGCATTTCCTGTAGATAATAGTAAAAGTTATGATTACTACAACAATAGCAATTGTTGGCAAAGCACACCTTAAAACACGCAGCATAATCAACTTGGAATTTTTGTGGAAGCTACTCTTGCAAGGTGGGACTAGCAATCTAGGTGGACCACAAAGTGCATAATTTTTCATGAATGACTTGCTAGAAAAGTTTCGAAATTGTCCTTCAATGGGGATTTCTCCTTCCAATCTATTGTAAGACACGTTAAATATTTTAGATTCAAAAGTTTCTCCAAAGACTTGGGAATAACTCCAGAGATATTATTATTGCATAAATCCAAGAATTCCAAACTAATCAAGCCACCAAATGATTCAGGAATATGACCATGAAATTTGTTATTAGATAAATCTAAAGAAACCAAAGTTTCAAGGCCCCCGATTGTAGGTGAGATATCACTCATCAAAAGATTCCTTGACAAATTTAAATACATCAATGCCCTTAAATATCCAACATCAAGTGGATGTGAGCTGCCCAGGTAATTTGACGACAAATCTATTGTTAAAATATCTTTGAGGCTCCACAAGATTGAAGGTATCGTATAACTCAATTTGTTGGATCCTAAGATAAGATTTCTCAAAGAAGTCAAATTACCCAAACATATAGGCATAGGTCCTCCAAGCTTATTATAAGATAATTCCAAATGAAATAATCTCTTCAATCCGCAAATATTTTGTGGAATGGGCCCTTGTAATCCATTCATTCCGAGAATCAAAACTTGCAAATTTCTTAGTCCACCTATTGTCGCTGGAATAGATCCACTTATTTTGTTGTCTCTAAGGTGTAAAAGCAACATGTTGCTTAAGTTACCGACTTCCAATGGAATATTACCTTGAAGCTCACAATCAGAAGCTAAAAGTTGTTGAAGAGTTCTAGAAAGATTCCCAATGTAAGTTGGAAGAATGCCATTCAATGGATTTTGTGAAACATCTATAAATCTCAAATTCTTGCAATTTACCAAAGAAGAGAGAAAGCTCCACTTGTGAGTAGCAGGTTCTGCGGTAAAATGATTGTTCGCAATTGAGAACCATTCAAGGCGTCTTAAGTTGGCAAAAGCATTTGAAATAAGGCCATAGAAGGAGTTATTTCTTAATGAAAGCCTCTTGAGCATGGAAGCATTGGAGATAGAATTGAGAATGTTTCCGCTAAGATTATTTTCTCCCAGAATGAGTGTTTCAAGTTTTTGAAAACTGGTCATCGGTGGCAAGTTATCTGTTAAAAAACTGAATCTTTTAGTACTTTGTGCTTACCACAATTTTGTCAAAGAGAGTAAATTTGACAAGATAAAAACTAAATTGAAAAAAAAAATAAAACTTGAAAGAAAAATAATGTATGTATTTACTATTTATGTATATTTTCATAGAAAATTTTGTGCAAACAAAACAACCACCAATTCAATATATAAATTTTATTTTTAAATTAAAGGAGAAAAATTATCTTTGTTTTAGAAGTGAACTTGATTACTAACATCAAGCTAATAAACACACATCACCAATTGAATGATGTCGAAGTAGAGATTGAAATTCATATTTCATATAAGAATACAAGAATTTAAATTGTAAAAATAAATGAAAAGAGATTAAATCCATAGTGTGTCTAGGATCTTTCAAATTTTAAATTTCATTTAGATCCAATAAGGCTTGTAATTGAATTTCGAAGTAACCCATTTAAATCAACATTTTTACTTAAAGGGCAACAATTGCTTTGGGTTATATACGAATTGGTTTTGATTGATTCAGATTAGGGAAAAACCAGAAAAAATGAAAACAAGTTTTAATTGGATAAAAATAGGTGATTAAGCTTAGGAAGATGATGACACATATCATCAAGCAATCTACCTGATAAATTATTATTTCGTAGATCAACAGCGGTCAAAGAAGAAATGTTGAAGATGGAAGTTGGAATCTGACCACTAAGACCCATATTTGTTGCACTTAATATCTCTAAACTAAAAAGATTACCAATTTCCTTAGGAATTTCACCTGCAAACAAGGTAAACAATCAAAGTGTTAGCTTGACCACCTATTTTGTTTAATTATTTCATTACATTGGTTGAGAAAATAAAATATTTTGCATTGAAAAAATAGAAAAAGAAATGAAAATGCGTTTAGACTAAAGAAATCAAATTAAAGCTCACCTTCTAAGTTATTTACACTCAAATATTTTTCTTTGAGTTGTGTTAAATTTTCAGTATTTATTGGAATGAACCCATTGAATTGATTACCAAACAATGTTAATTTTTGAAGCTTGCTGCATGTGCCTATACTTGATGGAATATAACTAGATAATTCATTCATGAACAAGTAAAGCACTTCAAGTTTTGGGAGAGATGGACACATAAATCATCTGGCATACTACCAGAAAAACTATTATGTTGGAGATAATCTCTTTCAAGGGGGAATTGCTGGAAAATGAAAATGGAGATCTGACCGGATGGTTGATTGTATCTTAATTGGACATCGGTTAATAAGTTTTTTGGGGATTGTGCCTGTAAAATTATTATTTCTCTTTACCCAAGCCGTTGAACTTAAACTTGTGGTGTGGAGCCGAGCCCAAGCCATTTTGTGAGCCATGATCGAAACCGGTTTTGGTAATTTTTTGTTTTATTTATTTTATTTGTTTAAAATAAAATTTGTGTTTTAAGACGGTTAGAAAAAAATTTAAATTTACAAAAATCTATTAAATTATGGAAGGATTTTTATGATTAAAAAATTTTAAATTAATTTTAAGAAATCTTATCACACTAAAGGATCTTATTGAAAAATGAAATCTTACTTAATTATTGAAAGATTTTATGAATTTTAAAAAATATTTTTTCAAACTTAAATTATGAAAATTTATGAAATTATTGCAAGATTTTCATGGATTTAAAGAAAAATTTTAAATAAATTTAAAAACTTCTACCAAACTATTGGAGAATCTTATTTTGAGAAATAAAATTTTATCAAACTATTAGAGAATTTTCATAGATTTATAAAAATTTAAATACATTTAAAAAATCTTAGTAAACTATTAAAGGATCTTATTGAGACATAAAATTCTACAAAAGTTTTAACGATTTCATGAATTTAAAGAAAAAAATTGAAATTAAACATTACCAAACTATTTGAGAATCTCATTTGGGAAATAAAATCCTACCAATATATTTAAAGGATTTTATTGATTGAAAAATTAAATTTTTGAGAATAAAATCTGACAGACGAAGCCACTTCGAGGGTGATACTAATCTTTTTGAATACTTTTGATATTAGAAAATATTTCTAAATTACTACTAAACAATTGGAGTAAGGAAAATTTCTTAAAACTATAATTTTCAATTTGAGGATTTTTTTTAAAGATGATTTTAAGGATTAATGGATAACAAGAAATCAACTGGTACCATCCTTTAGATAAATGTTGTAAGGACCTATAATTTTTTCTGCACATAAACCATATTCCGGAACCTACTTTGATTTCATAGACCAAAATCCACTCTTTTAAAAACTTAAGTTAAGCATAAGATATCTCTTTAAAAGGAATAAGATTAATTAGGTGATTAATCATATCTAAATAAAAAAGATTGGTAAAGATATTTTTATTTGTGTTTAGCGATCAAGTTTATGGACTTGTATATTATGATACATATTTTTGTCATATATAAGAGATTAATTTCATATTTTAATCATAATTTTTTTCTAAATACGATATGAGATATTTTCAAGTTTTGTCTAGATAAAAGATAAACGTGACAACCGTATCTTTTTTACATGATAATCATGTATCATCTATGTCAGCATTTAAATGTTATGTATGTTGGGATTTGCCTTGAATCTCAGAATCCCACATCGAAAGTTAAGTAAGTTTGAATTTGTCTTGTATCCCACATCGGGAGTTTAGTAAAGGTATAAAGGGTTTCACCCCTATAAATAAGATGTTTTGGTTTTAGTTTAGTAACCTCAGAGAGTTAGACACAAAGAGAATAGCTAAGTGAGTAGGCTATTAAAGGGTGTAATTGGGTTTTGGGTTAAGTTTTGAGTAAGGAGTTTTAGGAGACTTTTCTCATTCTAAAAGTCTCACAATTGTAAAGATTTATTTGATAGTGGATTAGATTTGGAGTAGGCCATTTTGAGTTGGGCTGAACCAAATATATTTGTGTTTTCTTATTCTTGATTTGAGCTTGTTATTTTGTGTGTGGTTGCTGCGCGTGGGTATTGTGATATTTCCCAACAAGTGGTATCAGAGCGAGGTTCCAGGTTCGAGGTTCTAGGTTCGTGGGTCCAAGAGATCGTGAAGCAGTGTTTGAAGATGTCTGAAGAAGGTATGTCTGGTATGTCTATGCCTAAGTTTGAGATTCCGTTATTTGATGGAAAGAGTAATTTTATGTTATGGCAAAGTACGATTCAAGATCTGTTAGTACAACAAGGATTGGATCAGGCATTGGAGAGTAGTAAGCCTGAAGGAATGTCTGATGCTAATTGGAATAGGATTCAGAAGAAGGCTGTTAGTACTATTAGATTGGCGTTAGCTTCAGAAGTAAAGTACAGTGTGTTGACTGAGAGTACTCCGAAGAGTTTGTGGGATAAGCTTGAAGGTATTTATGCTTCGAAGTCGTTGACTAATAGATTATGTTTGAAGATGGATCTGTATTCTCTGAAGATGGAAGAAGGTATGAGTCTTCATAATCACCTGAATGAATTTAATAAATTGGTTTCTCAATTGTTAGCGATTTCTGTTGATGAGTTAAAAGATGAAGAGAAGGCTTTAATTTTGCTATCATCTTTGCCCAAGTCTTATAGGCCTTTAGTTCAGACTGTGTTGGTAGGCAGGTCTACTTTGAAGTTGGATGATGTGACTGCCCTGTTGCGTGAGAATGAAAGGTTTATGGGAGCTCAGAACTCATCACCAGGGGGGAGTACACTAGCTGTAGAGGGTTTTGATCGAGGGAGGACTCAAAAGAGGATTGATGGATCAAGATGGAGATCCAAGTCAAGAGACAGAGATTACAGTGATGTAGAATGTTATTATTGTGGTGAGAAGGGACATATCCAAGTGCGCTGGCAGGAAGCTGAGAAGGGATATGGCTGCTTTCAAAAGGGCGAATGATGAGAAGAAATCAGATGAAGAAAAGAGTGATACTGCTGCTATTTTGTCTGATGATGATGATGTTGTTTTGACAACTTGTGTGGATGAGACCCAGACTTTGAAAAGTGACAAAGGTTGGGTTTTAGATTCAGCTGCTACAGTTCATGTTTGCAATGATAGGAGCTGCTTTGTGGAGTTGAATGAGAATGAAAAGTATGGGGATATTGTGGTTGCTAACAAAGAAAATGTGCAGATTCAAGGCATTGGGAGTGTTCGCCTTAAATCTCACAATGGTGTTATTAGGACACTTCGTCATGTAAGGTATGTACCAAATTGTCACTACAATTTGATTGCTTTGGGTGAGTTAGCTTCTCGAGGGTACACATATTATGGTAGTAATGATTGGTTGAAAGTGTACAAGAATGGTAGTGTGATTCTACAAGGGAATAGGGTCAATCACTTGTACATGTTTGATGGAGGCTCAGTTGCTGGAATGCCTGTGATGAAAGAAAAGAAGAAAGGTAAGCATGTTAGCTTTGCAGATACTGTTGAAGTGTTTGGAGATTCAAGTCAAGGGAGGATTTGTTGGGATTTGCCTTGAATCTCAGAATCCCACATCGAAAGTTAGTAAAGTTTGAAATTTGTCTTAGTATCCCCATCGGGAGTTTAGTAAGGTATAAGGGTTTCACCCTATAATAAGATGTTTTGGTTTAGTTTAGTACCTCAAGAGAGTTAGCCACAAAGCAGAATAGCTAAGTGAGTAGCTATTAGGGTGATAATTGGGTTTTGGTTAAGTTTTGAGTAAGGAGTTTAAGGAGACTTTCTCATTCTAAAAGTCTCACAATGTAAAGATTATTTGATAGTGGATTAAGATTTGGAGTAGGCCATTTTGAGTTGGGCTGAACCAATATATATTGTGTTTTCTATCTTGATTTCAGCTTTTATTTTGTGTGTGGTTGCTGCGCGGGTGGGGTATTGTGATATTCCACAATGTAAATATATTATATATTTTTAAAGGTTTAAAGATTGGGACAACTTAATATATGAAATATAATTTAGATATCTAAGTATTTTTTTTTCATTTAAGTATCGCATTAAAAAAAATAATAATTCAGAGATCAAATGAAGTATTATCCC